TTTGGCTTGATTTCAAGATTTTGCTAAAACAGACATGTTTAATCAAATACAAGAAAGATAAAATAATCAAAATATTCATATGTTTGCAGGGAAAGGACCAAAGTCTGCTTTCCAAGCAGAAAACACAAGAGCTCCAGAAAAAATGGAGGGACACTTGCATGCATCTCCATCCCAATTTTCATCAAAATACCCATCCCGAAAACCCTGTCTGGCCAGCCGTGCCATCTCTGGCAAGAATCTACAATCCAAACTCTCTCGCCCGTCCCCCTTTCCAGCCCATGAAGCCCAACCTACGCAAACCTCTCGGGTCAACCCTGCAGCTGAACACTAGCCCTGTCACGACCCAACTCGTCCCTCCAGCAGCGCCCAAAAGCCCCGTTCAGACGGACCTCATCCTGGGCACCAATGGCCCGGAGAAACCCGCGGAGGATCATCCAGCCAAAGACCTGCTCAGCTGCATCTCATCCGAGCCCATGTTTACAACAAACAAACCGCTCGAGAAATTCGCCGACGAGCTGGATGCCGGCACCTACAAGAAGCTCCTCAAGGGCCTTATGGAGAACGCTTGGTGGCAGGCAGAAGCCGCCTCAGCTGTGGCCTCGGCCATCACGCGCTGCCGCCTGGGCAACGGCAAGCATCGGGGAAACGGCAGAGGCGACACATGGCTGCTGTTCGCGGGCCCCGACCGGGTCGCCAAGCGCAAGATGGCGTCCGTGCTTGCTGAGCATATCTGCGGGTCGGGCCCGGTCATCATCGGCCTCGGCCCAAATCGGGAGGACGAGCCCGACACGGCGGGCCTGCGAGGCCGCACGGCCGTCAACCGCATCGCCGAGGCCGTTCACCGGAACCCCTTGTCGGTGATCGTGCTCCGGGACATCGACGAGGCGGACGTGCTCGCGCGTGCGAACATAAAACGGGCCATTGAGCGAGGGAGGCTAATGGACTCGCACAGCCGTGAGGTCGGACTCGGAAACGCTGTTTTCATCGTCACGGGGGACTGGTCGACGGTTAGCGCGGAGGCCTTACGAGACGGGCAGTTTGTGGACGAGCGGAAGCTGAATTCGACAGCTGGCGGGAGCTGGCAGCTGGGGCTGATAGTTCGGGAGAAGACCGCCAAGCGGAGGGCCAACTGGTCCAACGACGGGGGCCCGAGGACTCGGCCGAGGACTGAAATGGGCGGGCTCTCGGTTGATTTGAATCTCTCGGCGGCGGCGTATGAGGAAAAATCCGTCGAGTCGAGTGAGGTGGACGGAAGGGACGATGCGGAGCCCACGGACGGGGGTTTCTCGATTGTGTCGCTGCCGCACGACCTGGCGAGCTCCGTGGACGACTCGATCGTGTTCAGGCCGGTCGAGGCGGCATTTGTGCGGCGTGAGATCAAGAAAACGATAGCGGTGAAGTTCTCGATGGACGTGGATGAAAACCTGGCGATCGAGATAGGGGATGATGTGGTGGACAAAATACTTGGAGGATTGTGGCACGACTCGACGAGCCTGGAGAAGTGGGTGGAGGGAGTGGTGGGCCCGAGTTTCGAAGAGCTTAAGCCACGTCTGCCGACAGGGGATAGGAGCAATTCAGTGGTTCGGCTGGTGGTCGAGTCGGACTCATGCGACCGGGGGAAGAGTAAAGGGGATGTGGTGGACTGGCTGCCGAATAGCATCTTGGTGTAGAGAGGGAGGGAGTGAGTGAAATCTTGGAGTTTTGTTGGGGCGGTTTTGTAAATAGTGGAACTGTTGGGGGTGGAGGTGGAANACAGTTAAAAAGGGTGGTGAGACTGTTTGACAGGTTAATCAATCTTTCAGCAGCGGCCACTTGATGTTTTTCGGGTTTCATCGTTGTATTTTGTGGACTTCAGTAAATGTTGTTATTTTTTTACTCTTTTTGTTGCGTGAATTCTGCCGTAAGTTTTTTGAGTATTTTAAGTTAATCTTGTAATGCGTGACGAATTATGAATAATAGATGTGGCCATCCTCCTCCGTTGACCGTGCTTTTGGCTTTAATAGCATGGTTGATAGCGGAATGATATGGGAATTGAATCCTCATTCTTTTACTCACCGCTTATTTTATGATTGGTATATTATTTTGAAAGGAATTATCATTACAATGAGAATTGTAAAATCCATTTCTATGGATTAGCTAATGCTAAGATTTTCTTATTACTATATTTGTAGGAAATAATTTTTTAAAAAATAAAATTAATAAATAATAATTAAAATAAATATATAATATATACTATAAATCATGATTAAATTATATTAAACAAAATTATTTTAAAAAATAAATTTCAAATAAAATATTAAAATTTATTTTTATTTATTGTTCATATTTTAATTAGATATATTAAATACTTATATAAAAAATAGAACTAAACAATGCATTTATAAATAATTTAAAAATATATTCCCTCCTATTCATAATAAGTGTCGTTTTAAGAAGCTGCACAGTAATTAAGGATATTTTTTTTGTCAATAATAATTCTCTTTAATGAAGATAGAGAATGATGTTTTGGGAAAAAATGAAGATTGAATATAAAAAGATGTAGTGTATTTATTAGCTAAATGAGGGTAATAATGGAAAAATATGTACAAAAGATCCAAAACGACATTTATTTGGATAATAATTAATAAAGTCAAAATGACATTTAAAAAGAATAGAAGGTAGTGTTATTTTATTTTTCTGCATCATATAAATTATATATTTATTCATAAATTGAATTATAATATAAAAAATTATATTCGACCACATATGCTTATAAGGGTTTATGTAATTATATATTTGTATTAATATTATGTATATGAATACATAATTCACTACTTTATTATGTAATATATATGAGTGTAATAATACAAAATTATATTTATTAAATATAGTATATTTTTTAGGAAATAAATAATTTTATTATTATCATAAATAAAAAAATACATTAATATAAATATTTTTTTTATAAAATAGTAATAAATGATAATGTCATTTCATTAAAGTCTTATTACTTCTACATACCAAACACATCAATGAAAAACTTGTTTCATTCTTTTTTCATATTCATTCTATTCTTCAAATCATTCTATTCTTATCAACTCTATTACCAATTATGACATAAGTGTTTTTCGTAATTTACTCCTTTGTGAGGGGGTATTATAGTCATTATGTGGCCGATGTTGCTGACGTGTTCTTGATCCAAAATGGTAGAAACTTAGCACATAGTAACAGAATAGAGACAGTAAAAAGGGTCTGACCAGAGATGACCGTACTAATTCGCGGTCAAAAATGCACTTTTTGGTTTGATTATTGAAGGTGAAAAAATGGGGCCCAGTGGCTTTTAGTGCTTGGTCACGTTATTGCATGTGCAGACGTGTCGGCCCCCTAAAAGGATGTGAACTTTGATGAGTGCTAAAAGGGATTGGTCGGGACCATTGGACCGAAGAATAGATTATGAATATCACGTGTCTTCATAGCTATTTATTTCACCGTCGTATTTGTAGTGGGATCGCAGGCTTTATTCTATCATTAGTTGTACGATAATTTATTATTAGGGCACTTAATTAATTAGTTCGTCACTAATCCAACCTTTGGGGTGCTTGAAAAGTTGCATTTGGTTTATCGACGTAAAGGTCTTCAATGAGATTTAAATGAAGCACTGGATTAGTTAATACGGTAGTACACTATTCCCACAAAAATAAATTTTATATCCATTTTATTATTGTTCATTGAAATATATATTTGAAAAACGAAAATTAACCAAAATTGATTATTATTTTATGAATATTGACTGTTTTCGTTCATTGAATGATCTACTTTAATGCCAAAAAATTTAATTTTTCTGGATAGTTCAAAAAGAAATTGACTGTTTTTAGACGAAGGGGGATATATATTGAAATATTTTCGTACAGCTGATGTGCACTGTATATCGATTCATTAAAATTTGATCTTCAACTTGAATAATATTTTTGTAATAAAGTGAGATTAGTACAGTACACGTGTACTACACAAGTGTTGAGTTAAGAAATATATAATAGAGAGTGTTGAGTTAAGAAATATATGTAAACGTTATTGCTAAAATAAAAATTTTATTTAAAAATTTTGATGGACTAATTGATGAAAAATAAAAGAGGAATAGACTGTTCAAAAACTGATTTGTAAATCATAATTTATGAGAGAAATATGAGAAAAAATTATAAGATGGTGAGATTGATATTTGTCCAAACTAAAAACGAAATGTGTGCTAAGAGAAAAAATATAACAAAATGAAATGTAAACTTACCTAGTTTAAAAAAGAGTTATTTATGTCTAATACCAAGGATAATTCCACAGCACAAACAACATTACGAAGCATAGATTTTCGTCTTGTCAGCATCCGAAGTGTGTGAGTCGGCCATTTAAACTCAACACGTTTAAAATTAATATATAGGGAGAGATTGTGTTAGAAATTGAATATGAATCCCCTATTTATGATGAATTAGTATCGGGCATCTGAGTACATATATATTTTTCATAAAATATACTAGCTCATAAAGAATCAATGAATAGGCCATATATCATCCTACTACACCAAAAATTTAAAAATCCTAGTCTAACCTCACGCTAGTTTAATGACCTAAAAATTTTGAACCACACTATTTTTATGTTGTAAACTATCTATTCTTTCTTTTCTTTTTTTTTTTTTTANTTCAAGGTTTTGAAGTTTCTTTCATGCCCTGATTTTTTCTTTGAAGATCACAGCATTTGGCATGTAGGGGTTATAATTACAAAACCAAATAATTGGCCTTTGTTCTGAAGCAAATGACTGAATGAAGCATTCAATTTGGACTTCAATAATTTACAACCACTTTTGAATGAGAGACATGAATTCAGTATTTTTGGGAAAGGGGTCAGTATCTATCATTATATAAAAAGAATAACCTTTTTACAATTTTAGAAATATTTTCCCGCCAAATTCATTAAATGTATCCTATATATAGTAATTGTTGGACAATATTGATAAGCCAACAAAATCGGCAGATTAATTATGTTAGAATCTGTTTTCCTTTTTCCGTATTGAAAATCGCGTTATAAAATCTCATAGCATCAATCTAGAGTTTATCTCTTATCTGTTACAAGATCTCGAAATCAGAGTTTATCTCTTATATGTTACAAAATCCCATTGCATAGTTAAAAAATCTCATCTCTTATCTATAACGATTTAAAAAAATAAAATAAAATAAAAACCAATTCATAATTGCTAATAGAAATTCATTATCTACCTTAAAAAGTTAATTTTCATCGGTCTAATTACTAATATTTTTACAAATATTATAAGCTAACAATACATCCTCGATAATTTTCATCGGTCTAATTACTAATATTTTTACAAATATTATAAGCTAACAATACATCCTCAATAACAACGTAAAACGCCATAAATTCGGTATCATCTGACATAATGTCTTTTTTAAATTATGCTTATAATATTTTAGATATTTTAAATAAATTGTTTAAACATTTTTTTTTACATATACACATATACATAATTGATGTTAAATTTAAATATTTGTAAACATGTTTTCTTTACAAAATAGTCCAGAAAAATCTTTTTTACACAATGTTAAATTCAAATGTTTTTAGATATGTTTTCCTTTTAAAATTGTTTAGAAAAGTTATAGGTGACTTCACATCTTTCAAAAAAAATATAGAAAATTTTGAGTACTTTTACATATACTAATATAATATTTTAGGTGTTTTTAATATTAAACATACAAATTTTATATTATCTTATACAAAATAATGTAAATTTCATATTCTCTTATACAAAATAGTTTTACATTGTTTGACCCCGAATCTTTAATTTATAATTATTAAGTATTGTTTATCCTCCTCTTTAATTTATAATTATTTATTTTCTTTCTCTTTTTAATTTAATATTGTTCCCGTGCAACGCACGGGGTACACACTAGTTATTATTAATTGTTCAGTCACTAAAAAGCATATAGTACTATTATTTTAAAATTGTTTGTCTGTAACAGTCCACGTCATATGAAAAATTTATATGTACTTAGTTAATTGAATGTCACGCACATTATTATGCACAACCTTTTCACATAAAGTCCACTCCCATATTATTAAGTTTTTATTTTATTTTGTAAAAAAGAAGAAGTTAAAAGAGTATCTCATAATCTCAATTGTGCTACTTTGTTTAAAGAATTATGAAAGTATTTAGGTATTTATAATTATGTAATATAAATTCGGTAACTATTCTAGATGTGGAATAGTTATAGAATCATAATATGATTCTTATGTCATCATAGACTTATGAATTGATGAAATACATGGATAATTGTTTTTTATGCGGATAATTTTAAGGCTTTTTATGGCTGGAGATATAACATATTTTTAATTTATTTTCTTCAAGAATACATTTTTCAATATGTGATTGGATATCCAATTTATTGCAAATGATGTTATGGATGGCAATTGAAATCCGTATATAGGATTGTCTATTGATGCCCAAGTCAGCGTTTTCTTATTAACTTAATAGTTAAAATTGGCTCATTATTCATTGAATACTAGTACGTAATCTACGTGATACACGAGACAATAATTATAAATTATACGTATTAAAGCTATGAAAAAATATTGATTAATATAAAAATAATTTTGAATATTACTATTTTTCTATGGTATATAATAATTTAACATTTGATTTATATGTTTATCTCACCTATATAAAGTAGTTGTCATTTTAGAATTAAAATAACAACAATTTAATATATTCAAACATTATCAATAGATGGTACACATAGATACTTCTCTCTTTATATCTACCTCTTATTTTTATTATTTGTCACCCTGGCTTAATTGATCATTGATTAAATAAATATCGTTTTGACTATTTTGTTCATATTTTTTCATTTTAACCTTCCATCTAATACACAGTGTCTCTTCATATCTCATCTCCATCATTTTCCATAACATCCATTAAATAGGTTTAATATTGGCAAGAAAAAAATTCTTCATTAGCGTGTTGCTTCTCAAAGCGACAAATAATAA